AATGTCCAATAGATATAAGGTACATGCTCCCCACTATCTGTCAGGAACAGACCATGTCTTCTTTCCCCCACTCAGAATCAACTCAGCTGCTATACCTCCTGGCTGTGTCTAGACCGGCCAGTTTTTCCGGAAAATCAGCCGCTTTTCCAGAAAAACTTGCCAGCTGTCTAACTGGCCACTTGAATTTCCACAAAAGCACTGACTTCCTACTGTAAGAAATCAGTGCTTTTTGCGGAAATACTATGCTGCTCCCATTTGGGCAAAAGTCCCTTTTGCGCAAAACTTTTGTACGAAAGGGCCAGTGTAGACAGCACAGATTTGTTTTGCGCAAAAAAGCCCCGATCGCAAAAATAGTAATCGGGGCTTTTTTGCGGAAAAGTGTGTCTAGATTGGCACGGAGGCTTTTCCGCAAAAAGTGCTTTTGCGGAAAAGCGTCCATGCTAATCTAGACACTCTTTTCCGCAAATGCTTTTAACGGAAAACTTTTCCGTTAAAAGCATTTGCGGAAAATCATGCCAGTCTAGACGTAGCCCTGGTATCTAGACCTTTTGTAGGTATGCTCCAGGAAAGAGGAAAGATGGATGGATTTGTGTATATGTGATCTGGGTTCAATTCTTGGCTCTGCAACACACTTCCCGTGGTATCTTGGGTAAGTCACTTAACCTACCATCTGTATAATAGGGCTAATACTAGCATACCTCGGAGTATGTCTACATTACCCTGTAGGCAACCGGAGTCGCAAGTGAAGCCCGGGATTTGAATTTCCCGGGCTTCATTTGCATAAAGCCGGGCGCCGCCATTTTTAAATGTCCGCTAGGGCGGACTCCATGCCACGCGGCTACACGCGGCACGGACTAGGTAGTTCGGACTAGGCTTCCTAGTCCGAACTACCGTTACTCCTCGTGAAATGAGGAGTAACAGTAGTTTGGACTAGGAAGCCTAGTCCGAACTACCTAGTCCGTGCCGCGTGTAGCCGCGTGGCATGGAGTCCGCCCTAGCGGACATTTAAAAATGGCGGCGCCCGGCTTTATGCAAATGAAGCCCGGGAAATTCAAATCCCGGGCTTCACTTGCGACTCCGGTTGCCTACATTACCACCCTAGTTCGAACTAGGGTGGTAGTGTAGACATACCCTCATAGAGGTTCTGAGAGGTTTGTTCTACTTCCAAGCTTCTACTTTAGTATCAAGCTGCCGCATGTATTCCTCTCTTCAGACAACAGTGTTGGTGTGTTCAGTGTGCCGCTACATGAGGCTAACATTAACCTTAACATTTGTGCAGGAAGGAGCTAGGTTGCTTTGTTTTTCTCTTCCTCCTGTAATTCTCTAAACAACTGTCATGCTTGGACCCTGTTGTCCTGATCCTACAAGTGCTGAATACACTGCATATTTATTTCGAAATAAACTATTCCAGAAGAAATACTCTGAAATAGATTATTTAAAAATAGCCCATCTACACTACAGGGAAGCCTCAAAATTAGTCCAAGACAGGCTTCCCTAATGTGGATGTGCTACCTTGATTTAGAGCCCCAGGAGGCACTGGGGAGTAATTCGTTTGATTGGCTCTGGGGAGGAGCTATTTTGAAATAGCAGCAGCGGAGCATCCACACTACAGCTATTTTGAAATAGATATTACGGAATAGGTGTTATTCCTCGTGGAATGAGGTTTTCAGAAATTGGAATAAGACTCCCGTTATTTCAAATTTATTTTGAAATAACGGAATTGCTGTGTAGACGCTCACTCAGGTTTCAGAACTTTTCATAGATCTTTAAGCTGATTCAATCAATTAGTCTGGTCTCTTGCATAACTCAGGCCTAACACCCTCACCCAATAATTTCGGCACCAGGATCTGATCTTTGTAGGATCAGACGTGTCCTCTGTTATCCCAGACTTTTTCTCCATTGCCATTTAAAAACAGGTTCCTTGAGCACGCTCCTGTGATTTTAGTTTGATTGGAGTTGAATATTTATGATTCATTCTGTACCTGGCTGGATTTGCTTTTCTTAATAGGGGTTTCATGTATCTGTAATGCCTGTCTAGGTATTTATATCACTCATCACCATAATAGCTGAATGTCTCTTGAATGGATCTTATATTACACTTTTTTTTCCTTTTTGCCACTCAAAGTATGCTCTGCTGACTTTGCTTCATCTTAAACCCCTATCTCTCTCAGCATTTCAGGTCACTGTGCTACTTCTTATTAATCTCATTCTTGTCCCTTTTCTAATGGATGTTCCTGCCTGTCTTCATCAGCAATCTTACCTAATTAAAAAGATGCCTTGTTAAACATTATTGAGTCTGGTTGGCTTCTCGGGACCAGTAAATGCTTCTTAGCTATAAACTGCTCCATTTTTGTGCAGTAATTTCTGTTAACTATTAATGATTTAGAAGGACTAATCCAAACAATTATTTCCCTCTGTTGTTGCATGACTAGGGACTTAACGACAACAAGTAATACCAGGAGCTACATAACATACAGGGAAGTTGAAATTAGAGAGTTGAATGAGAAGCTGTTCATTGTCAAAGCGCCTGATCTACAGGTCACTAGAATCAATGGCCAAGAAGAGCTTTCTTTGGCTCAAAAGTCCCTGGGGGATAAGAATTGGATGTTCTTGCTTGCCAAGCCACTAGCTCAGACTTCTGTCTCTCGTGTGGGTTTTTTTTGTGTGGCTATTTTGATTATTGTGCATTTGTTAGTATAAGCAGTTGGCCACAAAGATTTCTCTAGTGATGATAACATTGGAAAAATAGCAGGGATATTCTGTGTTCAGCCCATTTAATGAAATCATGAACAACCAACATGATTATGTCTTTACATTTTTTTTAAAAGGGAATTGAAAATATAGCTTTCAGCTATGTTTTTTTCATTAGGGGATTTTTTCATTAGGGGATTTTTATTAAGGCTCTACTAAACAAAATCAGCCTCTTAAACCGATGACAAAACTGTTAGAATACAATTTCAGATACTTCTACAAATGTCTGGGGGAAAATCTATTGCTGGATTTTTCTAGAAATAATTTTTTTTTTGTAATACAAAGATTGTACAGTACTCCATATTGTGTAGAGTCTGTTTATCTTTTAACTGAGACATTTTAGTATAGCCTTTCAAGAACAATAAGAAATATTTAATCTTATTATCATCTTTAGATTATCTCTGCATAAACCCATTTGCCCATTTTATGTGGATGACACATGCACATTGATATGACGTGATATAGGATATGCTAGTGCTAGTTTTGGAGAATGTAAACAGTGTTAAAATGTCCCTGACATGAGGTTCTCATGAACTGTGGATTGTGCTTCCTCTTGGCTGGTGATTAGCTTTCTTCCAGGTTTGACGCCTCCCCTTGAAATCTTGTTACCTTGTTGCTCTCTCTCTAAGTGATCCCTATTTTGCTCTAGGACAGTGGTCACCAACCAGTAGATCGGGATCTACTGGTAGATCTTGGAGCCTCTGACAGGTGATCTTTACTGGTTTGGCCAAGAGGCGGTCAAGTGCCAGCACTTCAGCTGCTCCTCCTCCCACTGCTGCTTGTCTCCTGCCCTTTGCCACTGTGCCCCCTCCCGCCCCTCCACCCCCCAGGGAACCTTCTGCTTTCTGGGAAGGGAAGGGAAGGGAGAGGAGGGGGCACTGATGTGAGGATCCCCCTCTTCCACCCTGTATTCTATCTCCAGTGATAAGGGAGGGGACACAACAGGGCTTGGAATGGGGTGCTTTTCTGGATGCTTTTGAGAGTGGTACAGGGCCAGCCAGTGCAGGGATGAGCCTTCCTTAGGCCCACTGCACCACCACCCAGGAGCCACCTGAGGTAAGCAGTGTCCATCTGGAGCGTGCTCCAAACCCATGCCCCAATCATGAACCCCCTCCTGCACTCCTGCCCCAATCATGAAACCCCTCCTGCACTTCAAGCTCCTGCCCTATCCCTGAGCCTCCTAGACCCAAACTCCCTTACAGAGCCTGTACCCTGAACATCCCCCTCCTGAATCCAAACTCCCTGCCCCTGGCTCAGCCCAGACTCCTCCCCCTCACACTCCAAATCCCTTAGCCCCAACCCAGAGCCTGTGCCCCAACCCTCTGCCCCTTCCTGGTGAAAGGGAGGGAGAATGGGGGAGGGAGAAAAAGAGGGCCAAGTAAGCAGGGTCAGGGCCTTGGAGAAGGGGCAGGAAGGAGGCTGGGCAAGAGTATTTGGATTTGAGATAGATCTTACATTGCACTTAAATTGAAAAAGTGATCTGGTGGTTAAACAGGTTGGAGACCACTGCTCTAGGAGGTGTAGAGTTCTCTTTTTGACTCAGCCCACTAGCCAGGTCACTGTGTGGTTTCCCCTTCTGATGTTTGCCCTTCTCTCAGGGCCAGACTTCTACTCTTTTCACGGGTGTGCTCCTTCACAATCTAATGTACAGATGGTGGCTGAACACTACCTCACTACAAGACTTTCCATTGCCAGATTCTCAGCTTTGTCCTAGTTCAGCCTATAACTGCTCAAGGGAGCTTCATCCTCCAATCAGGAGGCTGCTTCTCCAGCCTATTTTCCGCATGTGGGGTCAATCAAACTAATTGGTCCTTTCTGCGCTTTAGTTTATGGTTGTGAGGTGAACACCACAGCACAGTGCCCAAAAATGAGTTCCGTAATTTGTAGCTGATGTTCAACTGAAATAAGTAGACTAATAAAAATAAACCTTTTGCCCACTGGCAATTCTGCCACTGGCATATCTGGAGCACTGGCCAATTCAAAAAAGAGAAAAGTAAAGTATATTAAACTCAACTGCATGGGACAGTCAGAACTCTCAGGAGGTCCCAAAACAAACTGAACTGATGCAATAATGGACCAAGATTTTCAAAAGCTCAGTAGAGATTTTGGTGGCCTTGGTTTCTGTTGCCCAACTTGAGATAACAAAGAAGAAGCTGATATTTCAGAAAGAGTTGAGAACCCCACTCCCCCCAAAAATTAGTCACCTCTAGGAAGCCTCAAATGCGACATAATTTAAAACTGAAACTCACAATATGACGAGTTGCTTTTGAAAACCTTGGTCATGTTCCACAGGGAGGGAGGATCTAGGTAGCCTGTGGAGAAAGTGTACACAACTTTAGGGGCTCCCAAAGTGCCATTGTGGGGGCAGGAGGGAGATAAATGGGAGGGTCAGCATTAAGCAGATTGGTGTCCCAAGGAATAAATGGGAGTGAGGCTGGTGGATTGGCTGCTATTCAGTTTCATGGATACTCATCCCTGCATATAAGGTAGGGTTACTGAAAGAAGCTATCATTGCCTCGGGAGCAGCAGAATTTGTAGAGTGGCTTCCTCCAGGGCCATTTTGCAGCCTGGGAAAGAAGACTTTTGGGCTCATGGAATCCACAAGCACAGGCCTGCTAAGAACATGCATAACTAAGGGTATGTCTACACTACAAAGTTAGTTCGAACTAACAGACGTTAGTTCGAACTAACTTTCATAGGCGCTACACTAGCGCTACGTTAGTTCGAATTGAATTCGAACTAACGGAGTGCTTAGTTCGAATTAGGTAATCCTCATTCCACAAGGATTAAGCCTAGTTCGAATTTACTAGTTCGAATTAAGGGGTGTGTAGCCCCTTAATTCGAACTAGTGGGAGGCTAGTCCTCCCCAGGTTTCCCTGGTGGCCACTCTGGCCAACACCAGGGAAACTCGTCTGCCCCCCTCCCGGCCCCGGCCCCCTTAAAGGGGCACGGGCTGGCTACGGTGCCCGTGCCAGGTGCAAGCCTGCCAGCACCCGTTCGAATTTACTAGTTCGAATTAAGGGGTGTGTAGCCCCTTAATTCGAACTAGTGGGAGGCTAGTCCTCCCCAGGTTTCCCTGGTGGCCACTCTGGCCAACACCAGGGAAACTCGTCTGCCCCCCTCCCGGCCCCGGCCCCCTTAAAGGGGCACGGGCTGGCTACGGTGCCCGTGCCAGGTGCAAGCCTGCCAGCACCC